CCTATTTGATATAATTCTTTGCTATATTAGATAATGTTGTGCTACAAATTATTCTAATATTCAGTAGCAACTGAGGTTAATTATTGACGGCTTAGTGATAATTGATTTCAGGAAGAATATTTTCCTAAATTAAATGCAACCGCTTGTGCTTGTGTTATTTAGTTTGTCGGTTTTCCTAGTTCCTATTACTGCTATTAAATTAAATCTATAGCACTTGTCTTAGGTTATTTAGTAGTTAGGGGTAATTAAACCGCGTGTGCTTTAGTTACCTACAACTAAGGGAAAACGGAAATGAAATAATTTCACGACAAATATTCAATTGCATATCAATTACCTTTTTGAGTCAATGATCAGTGTTAAATTCCGGTGGTGGATCTTTACTGACCAAGGTTTTCTATTATAGGTTCTTTCAATATATTGTTTTCATTGCTTTATTCGATTTATTTAATCTCTTGTTTATTTAAATTATCTTTTACTTAATCTTTATTCTCGTTATTTTCCAAACCCCCCATCATTTCCTTGAGCACAAAAGTTAAACTAGTTACTCCTCGTGGGATCGATCCTTACTCCCGCTACTACGTTTGTAAGGTTTTAATTTGGGAGCCTACGATAGCTCATCACCCCTGAGTCTAATATCCAAACTACATGAGTGTTTAGAGCAGCATTAACAAATACATCAAGAATAAAGGTACCTTCAGTGTGGACTTCCATAGGCTCTCCAAAATCATGTGTGAATCTAGATTGAGTAACTGCTATAGCTGCATTGGTTGAACCATGAATTTGGCTCTGCAAAATGGTGAGCAACTTCTGAAACTGGTCAGTAGACAATCCAGTATCAGATATCTGATTCACAGAGGGGCCTGGTGGTTGTTGTAGGTCTTGAGACTGCTTATTCTTGGACTTAAAACCTGGTACCCACCCAGGGGGATAACCATTCTTCTTGTAACATTTCTCTATAGTGTGACCACTCATCCCACAGTAAGTACACTTGGGGATACTCTTTCCACTATTGTTAGAGAATTTCTTCTTGTTGTTAAAAGCTATTGCTGCCATTAGGGATTGATCTTCATCCAATTGTGCTTGAGTGCCTTGAATGGCATTGGACTGGAAAAAATCATTGGCCCTTTAGATAATTGCTGCTTTGATTTTCCTCTCAACCTTCAATGTCATATTTAGAACCTTTTCTATATCTAGAATTGGATCCATGACAAGGACTCCAGACTTAATCGTCTCATACTCTTCATTTAAGCCCTCCAAGAATCAGATTATTTGATCCTCTTCTCTCTGCTTTTGCATCCTATTCATCAAAGTACAAGAACAACTAGGAATGCACTCACCGAGCAATAAGGGCCTTAGGGCATTCATTTGTTGTCATAGGGCATTACTCTTAGTGAAATATTCGTTCACAGTCATCTTTCCTTGGACATTCTTGAAAATTTCGTTTTGAATCTCAAAAATTTTATGAGGGTCGGATTGGGAATACCTCTTTTGCAATGCATTCCAGATGTCTGTGGCTTTATCGAAATACATAATGCTCTCTGCAATGCTAGGGCTAATAGATCTCAGGATCCACGAGTAGACTATTCGATTGCATCTCCTCCAGGTTCCAATTCTTGGATCGGTTTCGTCTGGAATTGGAGTTGCGCCACTGGCAAAAACGAATTTGTTCTTGACCTCCAACGCAATTCTCATCGCTCTGCTACAAGATGCATAATTGATTTCAGTAAGGGGGGGGGGGACAAGGCTGAGATTTGGATTTTCCGTAACATGCAGGTAAAAGGGGTCATCGAACTAATCGACGCGCTGGCTCTGAGGATTCTGAATCGGAATTTGATTAGCAGTGGCTCCGGCATGTGCTATCTATCAGGGATTGCCATTATCATCAGGTTCCATCACCACTGTCGCAGCGTAGCTCCTCGACCGCTCTGATACCATGATGAACTCACTCGAATTGCAATGGAAGAAAGAAAGGGAAAGCTTTATTCATCTCAGAACAAGAAATGTGGTCTGTATTGTTCATTAGGATATCACTGCAAAGATAATTGGAAAAAGAACACTTACAACAAGAAGGGAAAGCTAGGGCTTATATATGAGACTTAACCAAAAGCTAACTAACTAACTAACAGCTCATTAACTAGCTAAGAGAAATTATAGAAAAGCCCTTGCTAGGAAAATAACTGCTAGTGAACTACAACTACTGAGTCTTCTAGTGAACTGGCTTTATCATCTGCTATGCTTCATCATCACTTCTCTGTGGTTGTGGATGAGTACTCCAGCAGCTTTCTTGCAGCGTCTGTCCCATGTTTTCTGCTTCAAGTGCTGCTGGCCAAATGCCAGGGCTTTGATTCTGTCCCAAGGCACGGCCACTGCCAGCATCAAATTCTTCTATACACGGCTGCTTCCAAGTTGACCTCATCATCATTTCCTTCCTATTCTCTAACTCTTGAACCTCACTATGATCTGCAAAATTCCACAATCTAAATGGATCGGAATTTCCGATGGAATCACCGGACGGCGGGGAAAAGTAGTTTATCCTTGAGGGGCTCATGATCATCATCATTCCTTCTCCCCGTATCGGTGTCGAAATCAGGCGTAAGGAACAACGCTTCTTTACCAGAAAAGTTCATCCTTGGCTTTGGCCTTGGGGGGCTCATCATCATTCCTCCCGCCATTTCGAACAGCAAATCGCACTCTGTATTGACATCTCTTTGTAGATGATGGAAAATACTAGTCGTCTCACCTTCTTCACTGACTCCGTCAACGCCGCCGCAGCAGCATTCTCGGCGGTTCCCATCTCCGTAACGGGGTTCCAGGTGAGACCGCCATGATTGAACAACCACCTCGTGGGAAAAGGAGAGACATCATATGGTGGCGGTTGAGCTTGTTCTGCCAGTCCCGGAGATGGCAAATCTTCAGCAATGGGGTCAATGAACGATGAGGCATCATCATTCTCAACAAGTCTCATTGCTGAATTTGAGTAGGTGTGTGTAGGTGCTGTTAGAGATTGATTTGGTGGAAATTGTAATAATGTTTAATTTCGGCTTTGCTTTGGTGACTTGTGGATTATATTAGCTTCGGGTGATCGGGTCGGCCATCTATATATAATAAGGAATTATTAGCGATGAAACTTTTGTTTTTTTGACAAACCCCTTTGAACTTTTTGAACCTTAAACCTTTCGGTCCTTGTATACCAACAAGGCAACAACTCAACCTCAATCACCATCACCTTATATTTACTCCCCCATGAAAAATACTACATATACTCTCACTTCTTACTCATAACTCCTACTCCTCACAAATCTATTTTTCCACTCTTTCCAATGTCACCCAAAGTTCTGTCCCCCGAATAAGATATTTCAGAAATCTCTAAATAATACATATTATGTTATTCGGCATTAAGCAATGAATAATCATTCATTGCTTGATTTTATCATTTTAATTTTTTTTTTGAAGTTTTATCAAATTAAAATTATTTAAATATTATGCAGTGCGTTGCATAGTTAATGCTAGTTACCCTAATACAACACTATTTCGATACGGTCCGCTGTATAATGCTTGCTTATATGTTGTTCAAAAGTTATGACAATCATTTCAAAGTTTTTACACTTTTTTCTCCCTTTTTAACTTAATAGCTTTCATAATATTTTTTGAAAAAAGAAAAAAGTTAAATAAGTCATCGAAATATATATATATATATATATATATATATATATATATATATATATATATATATGTATGTATGTATATATGTATGTATGTATGTATGTATGTATGTATGTATGTACGTATGTATGTATATGTATATGTATATATGTACACACACACGAACACATACTTATGCTATTTAAACTTTTTTTTTAAATAAAGACTGCATTCCATTACTCAAAGGCCTCAGTAAACATAACATCATGATTTACATCCTCCCAAATGCTCTGTCGGGTCGGGGTGTGGGGGGCCCTTAGGGTTGGGGTTCAGCCTTTTGGAAGAATGAATAAAAAGAGGATGGGCAGAATCCCGCTAGTTCCTTGCAACCAACATTAAACACGGTGTCCCTATCCAACAAATGGGTAACAAAATTCGCAGATCACATAACAAATATAAAGTTAATCTTAGGAATAACACACGCTAATTCGTGAATGTCTTCTAGAATGAAGTCAAAAGAAGAGTTGTTATTTTGACACTTTAAGCCCTGAATGACCAGTTGTGTGTCTGATCTAATTTGGACTGCCGCGAAACCCCTCTCCTTCATCCATTTGAGAGCCTCTCTAACAATTATAGTGTAACACCCCTGTTTTCCAACCCTAGAGTCTAGATTAAACATAACGTACCTAGCAGAATAAACCAAAGAATTCCATCAAATGAGAATTAAAGTCTAGAATCCTTAATCAACAAATGAGGAATGCTACTGCCACAACTACCCACTCCCGAGTAGTTGCTTCGGCTAAAACCACAAAACAAAAACTACAAGCTAAACATAAACAAGGGTTCTAAGACCCAAATGCTTATCATACAACCCACAGGAATCTCAAGGAAATGCTATAGAGTCCACATCAATAGGTCTACAAGTCAACCAAGGTCAATGTACATCAAGGAGAGTCATTTGCGGGTGGACCATTGGCAGTCGACCTCGGCCAGAGACAATCTCGAGTCGATACTCGGGCGCCCAACCGTCATAAGGCGGACTTGGTCCGGGTCGGCCGCGCTCTCCCCACCTTCCAGTGCTCACGTCGACCTTTGATGGCTTTGCCTCTTTCTTGTATGTCCAAGGGTCGAGGTGAATTGACCTCTCCGCCCATCTAAAGATTTAGTGCTCGGGGCAAGCGAGTACTCGGGCTATTATCTCCCCTTGGAGGAGGCGGAATCATTTGGGGCACATTGGGGCCGAGCGGTGGGGTTGGGATGCTCCCTTGAAGCTCTTCAACGAGGCGTGTTAACAAGGTTACCGCTTGTTGAATCGTGGTCACCCCTTCTTGGAGGCCTTGGACCTGAGGTGGAGCAAGTGAAGTTGACCTACCATGACGATTGTTGTTGATATGATCCCTGAGGTCCTCCGCCGATCTCACTGGTAGTGTTTGCTGACTTGTGGTCCCATTGAGGTCGTTTGCACGAGATGAGATACGGGTATTTGTGAATTGTGAGAATTGCGGGAGTTGGATCCTGATCTTGTCATAGCTAGCGAATAGCACGCTATAGCTTGTATGTTGAGCTCTCAATGAAAGCACCAATGATGGATTATATTGTCCTAGGGTCTGATCATTTAACACGATTAATTAATGGATATGACAAGTATGGACAACAATATGGAACGCAATTGCAAATATAATGTAATGGAAAAGGCAAATGTTGATAAGTCACGGAGGCAATCTTGTATTAAAATGGTGTGCAATGTTATTACAAGGAACAAATTGTGTAATAACGAGAGAATGTAGAAGATAAAGATTAAGATATGTCTTTGCAAGACATAATGGAGTGTTTATATACTCAAAACCATCCCTAACCGCCCCCGTAAAATAGGGTGGTGGGTTACAGTTATCTTAAACTGCAACAAATGCCTCCAAAATCGTGTCAACGCGAAGACCTGACACTTGGCCGAGCACGGAGCTCGATTGAGTGTTGAGCTCGGCCAAGGTGGCCAAGCGCTATGCTCGGCCAGCGCTCGGACACGCCTGGGCTAACCAGGCTTGGCCGAGGCTAGGCTCAGCCATGCCCGAGTTGTCCAGGTCCGGTTATGGGTTCTCCACGATACTTGAACTTGATTCCCTCTGAGTTGATCCGCACCAATAATGTATCATGAAGCAGTGTTATACAGTTTCATACTTCTGGAAGATAGGGATGATCAATTAGGAATAATGTACAGAATGATTTTGGATGATGGTGGAAGTACTATTAGAGGTGGAAATAATACCATGCTATTAGATATGGGTCAACAACATCAAATGTTGTGTGAGGACATTGCAAATGCACTTTGGGCAATTATAATAATTGATAGTGTACTCAATTTTATTTGTAATACTAGTCGCGGGCACGCTCTTTGCGCGAAACGCCATGCCTAATAGTCAATTAATGTGTTCTAATTTTTAAATGATAATATATATAAATATTAATAATTATTATATGAAAAATTAAATGTATACATAAATACATTATATAGATAGCAACATGATACAATTATAATTCCAAACATTACCATGACAAATTAAACGTTAATAGTACATCATTAATAATAAAATATTTTATATAATATATAGATTATTTTTAGCATTACGACATATTTAAATATTACTAACATATAATTCATTAATTCAATGATCGAATATATTTTTGTTGGAGGTTATTTTTCATATAGTGACGAATGTTTTAAAAATTTCATATTCTAAATGCACAACGAGTTTGTTTAAGAGATATATTTATGGAATAACATAAAAAATTAAAATTTTAACATAAAGAAAAAAGAAGGATATACTATAAATAAACATGTTATTTCACCTATCATTAAATATTTTCAAATCATAATGTTGGTCATTATAAGTTGTTACACTTGGGGGCGTTTCATCTTTGATTACCTAGTTAATCTGAGTCTGGTAATGTTATATTACTTTGTTTGGTTCAAGTTATGAGATACCTGGTAATGTTATATTACCTGAAAGCTGATGTGGCAGTAATGTTTCAAGGTAATGTGATTACCCCCATTTTCTTAGGTAATCTTAGATTACCTTGAATTATTCCAACTTTGCCCTTGTTAACTAATTCTTATCCTTATAATAATAATAATAATAATAATAATAATAATAATAATAATAATAATAATAATATTATTATTATTATTATTATTATTATTATTATTATTATTATTATTATTATTATTATTATTATTATTATTATACAATAAAATATACATGTGTATATTTATATATTTAGTTTTTTAATATTTGAACATTGATATACATTCATACATATAAATAAAAATACACACACACACACACACACACACACACACACACACACACACACACACACACACACACACACACACACACACACACACACACACACACACACACACACACACACACACACATATATATATATATATATATATATATATATATATATATATTATTGAGGACATTATTGTAAATTGATTCATATAACCTAAAATATAACCCTTAACCAAACACGGTAATATTATATTCCACAATCCAAACCAAACACATAAGGTAATTTTACATTCTGATAATCTCACATTACCTTCCTGGAGGTAATCCTATTACCTGGGGTAATCCAAGATTCCGTGAACCAAACGCCCCCTAATGGTAATCAAATTTGAAGAAAAAAATAGTTATTTGTAATAATCATAGCATCAAAGCAATAAAAATTTCACATTAACATGTGAGATAGATATTGTAGTCATCCAAAATATTACATTTTGATAAGTTTTTCAGAATATTTGGGTAATTTCAATTCAAAGTCTATTAGTGAAAGGACTTTGAACCATAATTACAAAGCATCAAATTAAGGACAAACATTTTTTTTTTAAATGGAATATTTGATGTTGCCAAAAGTGCAAAAATATGATAGATATTTGGCCATTGTTTGCCATACAGCTAAAGTTCAAAACATATTTGTTAGTGTTTTAATTGTTCAAAAACCCCAACTTATAATTGGCAATATTATTATGGCATACTAAGATAGGATTAGTTCAGTGTCTGTTTTGTTCCACAGAGGACTGATCAATCAGATTCAACAACAGAAGGACTGACACTAAAGATCTGTTTTAGGAAGCTGTTTTCCTAAATGATGTACGCGATTTTACAGAAGTCAGATTTGGAAAGAAGATCAGCGTATCTGCTTTGGAAAGGTATGGACCGAATCCTTAAGATTACATTCTTCAAATATCGTCCTACCATCTACAATCAAAGACATCTATGGAATGAGTGTTCTTTTGACGGAACTATAAGTATCCTCATTCGAAGAGAATTAGGGTTACACCTTTGAGAAAGAAGAAAACACTTCACATCAGTTTGATGAGATCAGATCTTTGATTATCATGCCTCTTATCAATACAACATGTTCATGGTGATTAAGATGACGAACTTGAGAAGAATCACTGCTGCTTAAACGAAAGGGCACTGTGATCACACTGTTGTGGGAACAACTGTAAAGAACGTCATTGAAGTGGACTGCATCAGAGTGGGCTTTCCAAGTGAAGGGATTTCATTAGACTTCTGTATGCATGGCTCTCCATCTTCAACAATCCACTAAACCTGTGTAGACTGGGTATGTACCTTGTGTGGGGCACTTGGGTAAGATTATTGTATATCTACCTTTTGTACATCGGGTTATGATTTAGTGGATTGGACACCTATGTGATCGTCCCCCAGACGTAGATACACACTGTATCGAACTGGGTAAACATTCTGTGTTGTTGGCTTTGTGGTGTTATCTTTTCTTTAATCTTCACTATGATTTGCTATTACTGATTGAATTCATCGCTGAATCAGTCAGTCCATTTAGTCAGTTGATTAATCCAGTTAATCTGTTTAAAAAGAGAAAATGAAAAATTACATGTGGTATCAGAGCTTTTAAGTCTATATAGTGACTTGATCCGTACGGGTTGTTTTTAGTTTTGCATTGTTCTCTGTCTTTTGGAAGTGCCTCTGTGTGTGTTCGTTGGCTGGGTGCTTTTGTTCAGGATGGATGTGAGTATGAAACCACCAGAACTAGATGGTCACAACTATTCATTCTGGAAGGCTCGTATGGAGATATACCTCCAAGCACAAGGTACCAGGGTTTATCGTACTATCCTAACTGGGTGGAGCCGTCCAACTGTGCAGAATGAGGATGGAACCACTGGAGATAAGCCCATGGAGACTTGGATAGACGATGAAATGAATGCCTCTGATCTAAACAACAAAGCTTTGAACTCGATTGTATGATCTCTACATGAATCGGTTTTTACTCTTGTCACCGGAGTAAAAGAAGCTAAACGTGTATGGGAAATTCTTGAAACCAGATTGGAGGGAACCAGTGATGTCAAGAAGTCAAAGCTACAAATTGCACTGTCAGAATTCGAAGCCCTCAGAATGAATGAAGAAGAAACCATTTCTACCTTTCACAGTCGGGTTCAGAATCTGATGAACAGAGCCTCAATTCTTGGTGAACCTTTCACTGATGAGAGAGTAGTCAAAAAGATCCTTCGATCTTTGCCTAAACGCTTCCGGATGAAAGTAACTGCTATTCAGGAACACATAGGCTGGGTATGGTCACATACAGTGCAGTGCAGTGTAGAGAATGTGAAGGGTATGGTCACATACAGGCAGAATGTGCAACGTATCTCAAGAGGAAAAAGGCTATGTCAGTAGCTACATTAAGCGATGATGAGGAGGAAACATCCAAGATCAGTCATATGATAATGTGGGAAACTTTGTAGCCTTCTTTACAGCTACAGACATTCAGTCAGACGGAAACCAATCAGATGAAGAATCTTACATATCAACTGATGAATTTGAAGAGAGACATACTCAACTTGAAATAGAATTTTCTAAACTTGTTGCAAGCTGGGAACAACTAGTGAAAGTCAATAAAAATCTGAATGATGAACTAAAGCAAAGGGATGATCTTCTAAAGAAACTGAATACAGATTTTGTCATAAAAGAAGATCTCATCACTCAGATAAGATCCAGAGAAGGAAAACTGATAAAGGAACTGGAGGTTCTGAAGAAAAATATCCAGATGATGGACACCACATCAACCTTAGACAAGATTCTAGACTCTGGCAGAAATCCTAATGACAAAAAAGGCCTAAGATTTGAACGGGGTGAATCTTCGAATAATGCACCTAGGTTTGTCAAAGAAGGTGTGTTAAAGACCATAGCAGTTCACAGCTTTGAACAAGGACAGTCATCTCGTTCAGTGCAAAAAATTGACAAGAGAAGAAGATATGATCAGACTGCAGATACTGACCTTGCCAAAGTAAAGCATCAATCTCATTATGCAAGGTTCAAAAATAAGGTTGTCAAAGTTAGACAGTACACTCCCATCTGTCACTACTGCCAAACAAAAGGTCATACTCGGCCTGAATGTTATTTTTTCTACAGAGACCAAAGGAAGGAAAAATATCAGAACAAGACTATTACACCGTTCACTAGACAAGTTTGGGTCAGAAAGTCAGAAGTTATATGCTACCCCACTATAGTTCTGACTGCATCTACAACTGAAGCTAGATGGTATTTCGACAGTGGCTGTTCCAGACATATGACAGGAAATGTAAAGTGTCTGATGGCGGTTCAACCTAGCAGTGGAGCTGTAACATATGGAGATGGACAAAAAGGGAAAATTGTTGGAAAAGGTACCCTGAATGTACCAGGTCTACCTCAATTAGAAGAAGTTCTATTAGTCAGTGGGTTGAAAGCTAATCTAATTAGCATCAGTCAGTTGTGTGATCAAAATTGGAATGTGTGCTTCGATCGTAACTGCTGCAGAGTTAGTGACAAAGCAAATCAACTTGTCATGGAAGGAAACAGGTCCTCAGACAATTGTTATGTTTTGGCAAATGAAACTGCATGTCATCTATCCAAATCTGATGAATCAAAACTTTGGCATAGACGACTGGGTCATGTAAACTTCAGAGATATGGATAATCTGATAAAACTAGAAGCTATGAAAGGTGTACCTAAGATCAGAATAGATCTGGATAAAGTCTGTGGTGCTTGTGCTATTGGGAAACAAATCAGAACTCCGCACAAAGCAGTAAGAGGCATCACCACTGAGAAGTGTCTAGATCTCGTTCACATAGACCTCATGGGGCCAACACAGACTGAAAGCATTGGGGGAAAGAAATACATATTTGTGTGTGTAGATGATTTCTCACGATACAGCTGGGTATACTTTCTAAGAGAAAAATCAGAAGCCTTCAAGGCCTTTAAAACTCTGTGCATAAGGGTTCAGAAGGAAAAGAATGAGTCTATAATAAAAGTTCAGAGACTGAGGAGTGATCATGGAAAAGAATTTG